CAGGGTGGCACGGCAGACAGGCATTGCAGAGCAGAAGCGGTTCCTGGTGGGTAGAAGGTAGCAAAACAAGCAAAAGATGCCCACCGCTCTTTCCCTCGTCTCTTACCCAGGGAACTGAGGCCAGGCAGCCCTCACGCCCTTAATCCTAGCGCCCTTGACCCTGGCATCGCACCATGAATCCTTCTTGGCGTCACACACACTGACCCAGCCGCCTCTGAAAACCCCCCACCTATGACCCCGTGAGACTTTGAGGACATCAAAACATGAACCGTAACACACGCACGCCCGTGTTTGTAGTACCAGGATATGTATATTGCTAACTCTTGGAACTAGCCCACGTATGCATGGACAGATGAATGGATAAAGAAAATAGGGCCTCTATGTGCAAGCAAGTGCTACTCCACCATCAAGGGGGATAAACCTGAATTATTTTTAGGTAGATGAATGCTCCTGGAGACCATAATTTTAAGTGAAGTAAATCAGACACATGAGTGTAAATATTATCATTTCTTTTGTATATTACATATTAGAATTATATATTATAAATAGCATGTTATACACAAGGAGCAAAATGGAGCATAGATATTGACATAGAAAAAGCTTTTTCAAATGAGAAGGGGAACACGAGATGGGTAGAGGAAAGGAGGGAAAAGGAGACTTAAAGAAAATACAGTAAGTGAAGGAAAACCATCACTAGAGCTTTCATAAATGGTAGGGGAGGGACCAAAGCAGAAAGAAGATGAGAACACTCACAGCTCCCCCACGCCCGGCGACCACTGTGTACTGCCAAGACACACTCATAAGAAAGAAAAGAAAAATATTAATTGCGGCGATCCTTCCGATTTGCATAAATTATTCACATCTGATAGTACACTTGAAATTATAGCTGAAGAAATAAATTGCTATGCTGTATAATGTGACTTTAGTGAAAAAAACCCTCAGCAATGTGGGAAATCTTTTACAATCATTGAGAAGAAAATTCATATGGGAATATTAGTAATTATGGGGATAGTACCATGACCAGATGCTGGATTGTTTTGGGTGGAAAATAATGCATATGCCAGCGCCATGTAGAGTGCCAGGCAGTGGGGTTGGCTTGGTTTTATTTTTTAATTAATTAATTAATTAATTTATGTTGCGGAACCAGGGATTGAATTCAGGCCCTTGTGCTTGCCAGGCAAGCACTTCTTCTCCTGAGCCGTCTTCCTGGCCCCGGTTTGGTTTTAGACTCCTGAGAAGTGCTTAACTTTCTCTGGCAATGCCACATGCAGAACCGAGCCTCCCCTGAATAAACTGAGAAAAGTCATGCCGAGCATTGTGGTGCATGACTGTCACAGCAGCGCTTGCGAGGCGGTCGCAGGACGAGGGCCAATGTGGGCTACATGGTGAGCTCAAGTCTGGCCTGAACTACGCAGCAAAACCCAGTCTTCAAAAAAAACAAGAAAGAGGGGCTGGTGAGATGGCTCAGTGGTCTAAAGCACCTACTTAGAACAAGCTTGGCAGAGCACAGGGACCGCGGTTCAATCCCCTGCACCACATGCCAGCCAGCCCCGCCCCCTGGTGGGCTAAGCTGCCCCCCCCCCACACAAATAAATAAATAAAATTAAAAAAAAAAAAACAAGAAAGAAAGAAAGATGCGCTGGGCGTGGTGGTGTGCACCTGCAATCCCAGCACCAAGAGGTGTGAGGCAGGAGGATCGCCACAAGCTCAAGGCCAGCCTGGACTACACAGTGAATTCAAGGTCAACCTGAACCACATAGTGAGACCCTGTCTCAAAAAGAAAAACAAAAAAAAAAAAAAAAAGAAAGAAAGAAAGAAAGAAAGAAGGAAAGAAAGAAAGAAATTATTAGCATACCTCTAAGCTTACTGATTTAGTTCTGGCTCACCTTGAACCCACCTCACCTCCTGGCTTTGCTCAATAAACACCCCTGAGAAGTGGGGTTGCTGGGCACCCCACCTTCCAGACCCCCCTGCTGTCTGTCTGACAGAAGCTTCCTCTTTCTCGATAATTCTCCCCACTCTTCAGCTCTGCTGTTCCTGGACTCCTTACTTCCACAGTTTGTGTTCTGTAGGTGTTTCAGAGGTCCAGCAGGTTGCTACCGCCCCATGATCGTCAATAAATACTGCCACCTGCTACCTGCTAAAGAAATTAATAGTCTATTCAAGAATGCGGCTGGGCGTGGAGGCACAGGCTGAGGCAGGAGGACTGATGCCACGGGAGGCCAGCCTGGGCTACAAGTGAGTTCAAGCCCCGCCCAAACCGCATAGCAAGATCCTGTCTCAAAAATAAAATAAATAGAATGCAATAAAATGGAAAAAGTGCGGTGATACACAAAAGCACGATTTTATGGTGAACATGTCTGTTTGCAGATATATCAAAGTAAAACAGCACAAATAAAGGATAAAGTTATGTAAGTTATGTTTTCTTAGTGGTTACAACTGTGAGTTACATATCCAGGCCAGAAGAAGTCCCTGGCAAGCCAAGGGGCCGGCGGCAGCGGGGCACACACCAGCTGCTGGGACGTTAGATCCAACAGCACCGCGCTCTGGCGCAGAGACAGCGGAGCAGAAGCGGGCAGGCGGGGCAGCCAGCGCATCACAGAGGAAATCCGAGAAGAAATTGACATGCGTGTAAAAAATAGAAACCACACATGTACATGGATTTAAGGAAAACCTGGAACTTAAAACCTGATCTTGTCTTTGATTACAAAGAAAGGGGCTGACTTAGAACAGTCAGCCTCCTCTTACACCCAGTTCCTTGAGGAAAACATTAAAATGGTATAAAAAAAATTGTAATCCAGCTAATTTGTGGTGTAGCAGTTGTACATAAATACTGTATACTCCAACAAGGGGGCACTCACAAGATTTCTATGTTACAACTGTGAATTCATTATTGATAAACTATTAACCTGCGCAGAAATGCCACAGAATAAAGTATGCAAAAATACATTCACTGCACAGAAGCTTATTTAGGGGCTGGGGAGAGAGCTCGGGGGTCTAAGTGCCAGCCTGGCAAGGGCAAGGACCTGGGCATCACATGCCATGCCGGCCGTGCTGGCCACGGAAACTGGGCGTGGTGGCACACATCTGTAATCCCAGCGCTGTGGGGGGCTGCTGAGCCAGGAGAATCACTGTGAGTCTGAGCGACGCAGCAAGCCCCTGCACCAAATAAATAAAGCTTTTTAAAAATAATTTTATTGAGAAACAAATATCAATGAGAAAGTTTCACAACTGATTACTGGCACATTTTCAATAATTAATACATTGCATATTGTTGTCTTAGTAGTTATTCATTGTACAAGATGCAGATATGCTATCCTGTCTCAAACACTATTATAACAATCCTCTCTATTCATTGAATTAAGAGAATGGAGTTGTATATCTATCCTATTTTGAGTACACAGATACAAAAGTGTCGTTCATTTCTATCCCACTTTTTTGGTTAGTTTTCTCAGAGAAGGGCATTTCATTGTCATTTAAATATTGTCAGTGCTTGAATTCAGCACAATCTCCTAATAGAGTCCAGTAGTCCATAATAGTGGTGGGTTTTCTGTAAGACTGGCAACGTCCAAAGTTGTAGACTTCAGCTTTTTATACCTCAGCATATTAATGTGGCTTTACTTTTTATACTTTTTCATACTTTTCTGCTGGATAGTTAAGACCAAGATAAAGCAAGACCTATATAACAAGAAAAGCAACTTTTGTATCTGATAAGGTCAGCCAAATCCCCTCAGGATTTATCCTGTAACCCTGTACCACACTTTGTAGATCCTTTGTCAGTGTCAGCCATGAGGATGAGTCACAGCCATTGCTTGACCAATTTGCTCTCTGTGAAAGCCTGAGAGAATGTTTTTGTTCCATGTGACTCTCAGGCACACTCGTCGATCACTTTCCTCTGTGGTCCCATAATCTCCTTGATCAGAAAATTTGGGACACAAATGAGTTACATGATGTTATAGTATAGGTTCTCCTATGTCCTGAGTCCTCACTGACCTTGAAAGGCTAGGGCCAAAATGTTGGCTGTCCTTGTGGCCCTTCTTTTTCTCTGATTTTTGGTCTGCAAACTTAGGTTGTTAACCCTCCAGAAGAGAAGCATATTATTACCCTACAACATATGGGGTTGGGTTTAACCTCACTATCTGTCTGAATATCAAACATCTTAGGCATAACATGGAACAAGTATTTTCCATCAAATATTGATGGAAATTGATTGATTTCCATCAATCAATTGATATACTGATATGTCGAACTTTAAGTCCCTGCAAAATATGAAGACAAAAATTTAAAAAAATTTTAAAAATTGAAAAAAATATGAATAAACAATTACATAATTTTACACAGAAATTAAGAAATCTAACCATATACAGCATTGTAACAAGACTGTCCTGTGATATATTTTTTCCTGTCTCTTGTTTTCATTTATTGCCCTGTAAAAACACTTTTAAAAAAGCCAAGTAAGCTGTGTGTTCACACCAATCAGCTGCCTTTACATACAAAATGTTTCAAAGAAATTCACGCATGCAAAGCGATTTCTTTCCATTTAATGAAATACGTTCGATTCCTGTAAGAATTTTTTAATGGATACAACACTGATCAGTACTTTTATCTGGGGACCAGAGCCGTCTGCACCGCGTGGCACAGGCCTCGCCCGTGTCGCCGGGCTGCAGGCGGCAGGGCGTGCCTGCCCGCTCGCGGACGCCTTTCCTCACAGCTCTGCAAGCTCCGCCGGCCGTCAGGGCCGCGCTGAGCCTTTGCGAAACCCAGAAGCGTTGCTCCGTCGTGTCGTCCTTAAGGTGCGGGACGGACTGTGACAGCCAGCCTCCCTGGTCCCACCCACCAATCGCAGGCCTGGCCTCCGCGCACCGCCGCGGGACCGCAGGAGACACCCCAGGGCCGCCCGAGGACCTGCAGCGAGCGGGGCGCGCCACCAGCTGCCGGCAAACGCGGCCCCGCCCCCGGCGTCGTGCGACGTCATCACGCAGATCGCGTCGGCGCGGCCACGTCCTTAAATACGGCCCTCCCCGCCCGCGCGAAGCTGAGCCTTGGGGCGGAGTGTGCGTGGCGTGAGGGCGCACCCCGACCTGCCCCGCCGCGGAGCGAGGTGGGCGGAAGGGCGGCGGGAGGGGGCGGCCCTGCG